TTTCTTTTCCTTTTTCTTTTCCTTTTCTTTTCTTCTTTTTTTTTTTTTTAAAAAAATATATATATATATAATAAATTTAGATAGCTAAGCTTATTATAGATTTTATTTTTCGATTTTTCGCTTTCTTTTTTCTTTTTTTCTTTAATTCTTAAGACTTTAATCTCTTATAAGTTTAAAATAGTATATATATACGTACGTATTTACTTATTTATTCACTTACGTATTTGTTTTCTTTTTTTAAATACTTTTTATTATTTATTTATTTTAATTTACTTAAATATTTTACTTTTTCGTTGCGCTGCTTTGCTTTACTTTGCTTTGCTTTGCTTTACTTTGCTTTGCTTTGCTTTAACTTGCTTTGCTTTACTTTGCTTTGCTTTGCTTTACTTTGCTTTGCTTTGATTTACTTTACTTTATTTTGCTTTGCTTTGTTTTGCTTTGCTTCGCTTTGCTTTATTAAAAAAAAGTTCGAGAAAAAGATCTTGCTAAGTTCGCGGACGCTTCGTACTTAATCGACTTTTAAATATTTGCAAAAAAAAAGGCTTTTGAATTAAATAAAATCTATTAGCTTGCATTTAAATCAATAACGACGACGAAGATTACAAGAAAATAAATACTTATCTTCGTTTTCTTTAATAAAAATAATATTTATTAAATAGAAAGAGCTTAAGAAAGAGCTTGAAGAAGATAAATAAAAAAACAAAAAGATTCGCCGTCGGTTCGATCTATAGCATCTTTTAACTCAATTCAAAGGACACGCGGTGAAATAAAATTTTCGTAGCTTAATTGAGAATGAATAATATTATTAAATATATATATATATATTATTGCAATGTTGTGAGCAATGTTATAAGCAATATAAGTGTCTACGTTCCTCGCGGTTTTTGGCGTTGAAGCGGGACATAATTTTTTCGCGGGACATAATTTTTTCGCCCACTTTAGGGAAGGGCCCCAAAAGTTGCGACGTCAAGTCCCACTATTACGTACCTGGGGGTGATTGATTGATTACCTTGGCGAGATTGGATTCGCTCGGCTTCGCTTAACATCATATCGATTTCGCTTGATATCATCTACATCACTAACATCATTCACATCACATCACCTACTTCACCCATATCACTCACTTCCCATTGCTTCCTATCACTTCACCCACTTCACCTACTTATTTACATTACTCCATATCTTATCTCTTTACGCAATAATGGTAACATTTCATCGATTATTTATAAAGTATTCACAGAGTATTCACAAAGTATTTACAAAATATTTATAAAACGAACAAACAAACATTTCACTTTTATCTTTAGCGCAAGCATACTTACTTATCTATCTATCTGTCTACTTATCTATCTATCTATCTATCTATCTATCTATCTATCTATCTATCTATCTATCTATCTATCTATCTATCCACTTATCTATCTATCCATCACCCTTTTAATCACCCTTTCAATCCCAATCTCCAATCTCCAATCTTTAATCTCCAATTTCCCATTCCAATCCCGATCCCAATTCCTGCCATCCAAATCATATAAACAGACTATTGACACCACATGCCTTCCTATCTTTCTATCTCTTCATTTTGCAAACAAATTTTACTCTATGTACTCCCTCCCTCTACTCTCCTTACCTTAAAGGGGAATGAATGCAAGAGCATTTCGACGCTCAGCTGATCATCCGATAACCATCCCTTTCAAGGACGATTTGAACAAGCTAGCATAGCTAATAGATCACTTCAGGCCGAGATTTAAAACCGCGCAGAATCTGAAAACAAACGATTTAAATCCTTTATAAATCGTAGCTAAAAGAGAACTATTATATTCGATGAAATCGCCTTTTGGTAAATACTCGTCTTTTAGTATAAAAAACCGTCTAAGGACCGTTCTCGAGCGTTTTGAGACCGTCTTATAGCCGTCCTATAGCCGTCTTATGGCCGTCCGTGAGCTTAAAACCGTCTCGGAGAGCGTAAGTTGATAAGCAAATACCTACTCTTTCGATTGCTTGCTAGTCTACCCTTTCCTCCTTTAATCACTGACGACACCCCCCTTTAGTACTATCACCGGTACACCACCTCCGGAGGACGCAGGTTACCAGGGTGGCCGTGGGACGCGGGTCAACTTTTGCGCAATCGATCGATTCCGATGATAAAAAAATCAGAGCGTTGATCTACAAGCCGTGGCAGCGATACCGAGAAATATCGTAGCGTCGAACTTCTTCAATAATGATGAAAACAATTTTTATTTCCAAAAATAATCTTTCATCGACAACCATATCTTCTTCCAAATAATCATTAAACAATTTCAATTTTATTATTTTTTTAAAAAAAAACGAGCTAATAAATAAATAAGCTCATTTCAAAAAAAATATAAACAAAGACGGCTAGCTATAAAACGGCCACAAAACAGTCTCTTTAATAGCACGGTCTTTTCGAGAAACTACTATTCTTAGAAAAGAGCTTAGGACTGAATGTAAGCGGTCTAATAGCCGTCTCTTATAAAAGAGATCATTATAACTATATCTTCTTTTATATAATCATCAAATGATTTCAATTTCAATTTTATTTTATTTTAAAAACAAGCTGATTAATAAATAAATAAGCTTATTTTAAAAAAGATAAACAAAGACAGCCAGCTATAAAAC